TTGTTCGGTCTCATGTCTCTCATCTTTCTCTTGGCAATGCCCCATAGATTCTCTATGGGGTTCAGGTCAGGCGAGTTTGCTGGCCAATCAAGCACAGTAATCCCACGGTCATTGAACCAGGTTTTGGTGCTTTTGGCAGTGTGGGCAGGTGCCAAGTCCTGCTGGAAAATGAAGTCAGCATCCCCATAAAGCTCGTATGTGGAAGGAAGCATGAAGTGCTCCAAAATCTCCTGGTAGACAGCTGCGTTGACCCTGGACTTAATGAAGCACAGTGGACCAACACCAGCAGATGACATGGCTCCCCAAATCAACACAGGCTGTGGAAACTTCACACTGGACTTCAAGCATTTTGCAGTGTGTGCCTCTCCATTCTTCCTCCATGGTTTTCTGCACAACTGTCAGGTCAGCAGTCTTTCCCATGATTGTGATTCCTACTCAACCAGAGTGAGAGACCATTTAAAGGCTCAGGAACCCTTTGCAGGTGTTATGGCTTAATTAGTTGATTAGAGTGGGACACTTTGAGCCTAGAATATTGCACCTTTTCACAATATTAAAATTTTCTGAGATTGTGGATTTGGGGTTTTCATGAGCTGTAAGCCATAATCATCACAATTATGACAAATCACGGCTTGAACTATCTTGCTTTGCATGTAATGAGTCTATCTCATATATTAGTTTCACCTTTTAAGTTCCATTACTGAAATAAATGAACTTTTGCACGATATTCTAATTTTTTGAGTTTCACCTGTATATGGTATTGTCTCGTGATGTGCCAATAAAGTCAGTATACGTATATGGATAGCTGGTGAAGGTTTTTTCCTTCTCCAGATTCTATTCATTTTTCTCCAGGTTCCATAGGTAGACATAGCCTGGCACTTGGTCTACCTTACAGCTGTGTTCCTATCTTAGGGCCCACTGTGGAAAGAAACCCTCCTAGGGACTGGGCCTGGAATCATGGTGTGTGGGGCCTTAAGAGGTGAGTGCTTGGGGCTCCCCTCCTTGCCTTCGGGTTCAACATGGTCAAGTGCTACAGTGTGAGAAGAGCTGGTGAAGCATTCACTTGGAGCACACTTTTATTGAATATGCTGGATTTGTACTACTGGGATTTATGTTTTTTCTTCACTTGAGACTATTTTTACTTTTATACTTTATTTGAATATTTTTTCAGCAACTTATTTGTTTGCAACAAAAAAAGTTGTTTTGAATAACATATAAATTGTTTTTGGATAAATTATTGTCACTTTTATACACACATATTTGCACATCTTTGATGGAGATTATTATTGCAATACTTTATATGACATTTTATAGATCGTTATGTAGTTTCAGTGCAGAAAATGTATACATTAGCTAATTGGTCTGTGTCTGAAGCTGGGGGAAACATACTCTGCCCCATGCCCTAGCAACACAGTATGTACTTTTGACTCTGCATGCCAAGCATGGGCTCACCAAAGAAGACCTGGGCACCAGTGTTTATGGGTATTATTTTCAACAGTGCTCTTTCCCTGCTGATAATGCCTTTGGAGGTTGTGATCTTTTAGTTATTTGTTACATAAACTAGTAAGCATTGTGAAACATTTTGCCGCAATCTAGTGCAAAATGTGGCTTTGAAATGTGCAGAAAGGTGATACCAATATTTTTTGTGACTAAGCCTGAGTTCCTTGGTTTGCTTCACAATAATGCCAGTATGTGGTATAAGTGCTAACTGGGAAACCTTGTCCCTAAAGTCCTGCATAGTCATTTTTCTGACAGCATCATTTAGGGACACTGCCTTTTTATTTTGCATAATGTGTTCTTTTATTATTGTAAATTTATGTGCTAATAATTGGCAACGAGATACAACTAAAACACTAAAACAAATAAAAAAATTAAATAAAAAGTTGATTACTGGAACATCACTTTAAGATAGATGTAGTGATTATGATGATATATTGAAAAGTTCAGCTTATTTTGTCAATTAAATGTACTTGTCATTATGTGGCAGATTAAGAATCTAAAATAAATCAAGATTTAACAACGTTGGAAATTATCTTCCAAGTTATTAAAGTGATACTATGTACTTAAATTTTTACTCTGGTTTCTATCAAGGGATTTCTTTTAGTGGCACAGTGTTAGTCAAAACTAAAGACGAAAAAGATTTGGGGGTACTCATTCAGATGATTGCAAAATGAGCAAAAAGTGTGATCATGCAGTGGGAAAAGTGAATAGAATTCTAGGCTTTGTCACTATTATTATTATTATACAGTATTTATAAAGCGCCAATAGTTCGCTCAGCGCTGTACATTACAAAGGGGGACAGAACATGTGACAGAACAATACCAATACAATGCAAAACAGGAGGGGATTGAGGGCCCTGCTCTTTCGAGCTTACAATCTAGGAGGGAGGGGATGGTGGCACAGGAGGAGATAGCTGTGGGGGATGGAGTGGTAGGAAGAGTGGAGGAGGTCGGCAAGTTAGCAGGGGGTGCAGGGGGTTTTCAGGATGCGCCTAAAGGAGAGGAGAGTAGGTGATAATCTGATGGGTTGGGGCAGGGAGTTCCAGAGGATGGGTGACACCCTGGAGAAGTCCTGGAGGCGGGCATGGGAGGAGGAGACCAGGGAACTAGAGAGAAGGAGGTCTTGTGAGGAGCAGCGTGTGCGTGCTGGGCGGTACTTGGATATTAGCTCAGTGATGTAGTTCGGGGCAGTATGGTGGACAGCTTTGTACGTCAGCGTTAGGATTTTGAATTTGATCCATTGCGCAATCGGAAGCCAGTGGAGGGATTGGCAGAGGGGGGTGGCAGAGACGGAGCGGTTAGAAAGGTGAATGAGTCTGGCAGCCGTATTCAGGATCGACTGAAGCGGGGATAGCCAGCGGCGAGGCAGGCCAGTGAGGAGGGAGTTGCAGTAGTCGAGTCGTGATATGATGAGGGAGTGGATGAGCTGTTTAGTGGTTTCTGGGGTTAGGAACATGCGGATTTTGGCGATGTTGCGGAGGTGGAGTCTGCACGAGTTTGTTAAAGATTGGACTTGGGGCTGGAAGGATAGGTTGGAGTCCAGAATGACACCAAGTACTCTGGCCTGCGGGGTGGGTTTGATGGTAGCGTTGTTCGATGTGATAGAGAAGTCAATGGGGGGGGGGGTGTCCGGGCTGGGGGGAAGACAAGAAACTTGGTTTTGGAGAGGTTCAGTTTAAGGAAGTGGAGCGACATCCAGTCTGATATGTCGCTCAGCAGGTGTGTGATTCGGGCGGAGACCAAGGGGGTGAGGTGGTTGGTTGAGAGATAAATTTGTGTGTCATCAGCATAGAGGTGGTAGTTGAAGCCGTGAGAGTGTATGAGTTGGCCAAGGGAGGAGGTGTAGATGGAGAAGAGAAGGGGCCCGAGGACAGAGCCTTGAGGGACCCCAACAGAAAGGGGGAGTGAGAGGGAGGTGGTAGCGTTATAGGTAATGCTGAAAGAGCGTTGTGACAGGTAGAATGAGAGCCAGGAGAGAGCAGAATCTCTGAGGCTGAGGGTGTGTAGTTTTTTGAGGAGGAGGGGGTGGTCGACTGTGTCGAAGGCCGCAGAGAGGTCAAGGAGTAGGAGCACTGAATAGTGGCCATTAGCTTTGGTGGTTAGCAGGTGGTTGGAGAGTTTGAGTAAGGCAGTTTCGGTGGAGTGTAGGGGACGGAAGCCAGACTGTAGGGGATTGAGGAGGTTGTTGTCGTTGAGGTGAGAGCATAGGCGGGTGTAGACTAGGCGCTCAAGGAGTTTAGATGTAAATGGGAGCAGGGAGATGGGTCTGAGGTTTTTCGGGTCATTGGGGTCCAGGGAGGGATTTTTAAGTATTGGGGTGATGTGTGCATGTTTCAGAGGGCAGGGGAAAGTGCCGGAGGAGAGGGAGAGATTGAAGATGTGGGTGAGGGAGCGTAGGATGGAGGGGGAGGGAAGTCGTAGGAGTTGTGAGGGGATACGGTCGAGGGGGCAGGTGGTGAGGCGGGCATCAGAGAGGATCTTGGAGACTTCCTCGATGGTAGTAAGGTCAAAGGTGCGGAGTGTTGGGGGAGCTTCAGTATGAGGAATGTAGGGTGGGGTGGCAGAGGAGGTCAGAGCAGTGGTGGGGCCCTGGGAGATGGGTGATGAGGGGGTAGCTGAGTGAGGGGGAAGGGGGTTGGAGGGAGTTTGAGAAGCGACGAAGTCACTAGAAGTGTCACCAGAGAAAAAGATGGTACAGCTTCTAGAATGAAACAGCTGAGCAGAAAGGGCAGGTGTAGTCGGACCCTGTGGGGGGCATCGGAGGAGGATTTCTACTAACAGAAGAGGAATCAGCACAAGGGATATGTCCTGCTGACTGACACATCCTGCTGAATGTCTCTTGTGCTGATTTTTCTGTTTTTTACTTTAGCTACTAAGGTTTGATTTATCAAAACTGGAGAGTGCAAAATCAGGTGAAGCTCTGCATAGAAACCAACCAGCTTTCAGACTTTTTTTTTGTCAAAGCTTAATTGAACAAGCTGAAGTTAGAAGCTGATTGGCTACCATACGCAACTGCACCAGATTTTGCACTCTCCAGTTTTAGTAAACCAACTTCTTAAGCTTTATTATGTACAGTCTTTAGAAAAGAAGAAAATGGGGATACATGATTGAGACCTTTAACCACTTGCCTATCGGGCACTTTTACCCTTTTCCTGCCCAGGCCAATTTTCAGCTTTCAGTGCTGTCGCACTGTGAATGACAATTGCGTGGTCATGCAACACTGTACTCAAAATAAATTTTTAGCATTTTTTTGAGACAGATAGAGCTTTCTTTTGGTGGTATTTAGTTACCACTGGGTTTTTTTATTTTTTGCTAAACAAATTGAAAATTTTGAAAAAAAAAAAAGTTTTTTCTTAGTTTCTGTTATAAAATTTTGTAAATAAGTTCTCCTTCACTGATGTGGGCTAATGAGGCTGCAGTGATGGGCACTGATAGGCTGCACTGATGGGCACTGGTGAGGAGGCACTGATGGGCATTGACAGGCTACACTTGTGGGCATTGACAGGCATCACTGATGGGCACTGAAAGGCAGCACTCATATGGCACTGATAGGCGGCACTGATTGGAACTGTTGGGCGTACTTATTGGAACTGTTAGGTAGCACTGATGGGCACTGACAGGCGGCACTGACTGGCACCGATAGGTAGCACTGAAAGGTAGCTCTGATGGGCACTGATATGTGGCATTGATGTCCATTGGTAGGTATGATATGTGGCATTCATGGGCACTGGTATGTGGCATTGATGGGCACTTACAGGTGGCACTGATGGGGCAGTGACAGATGACACTGATGGGGCTACACTGATCATCGGGGCACTGATCATCAGTGCCCTGATCATCAGTGAAGATGTCCCCTCTGAGGAATGTTGGCTCTCCTCAGGCACTGTCAGCATGAGGAGAGGACTGCCGATAATCGGCATTTCCTTGTTTACATGCGATCAGCTGTGATTGGACACAGCTGATCACATGACAGAGCCTACGTCATCAGTTTTTTACTCTGAACTGAGATCCACTGGGTTCTAGGGACACAGCGCACCACCGATCACTGCGGCCCAGGGGGCACGCAGGCGCAGCTAGAGTGGGAGGATGTCATATGATGCCCTCCCAGAATGAGAGAAATGCCGCCTGCCCGTCATTTCTTTCTATGGCGGGAAGAAGGTGGTTAAGTACATTAAGGGTTTGAATAAGGTTCAGGAGGGTAGTATTTTCTATGCGAGGCTAACACCAAAATGGGGGCATAATCTCAAACTTTCAGGAGAAGAGTTCAAAGGCAAAAAGTATTGTTTTACCAAAAGATCAGTTGGTTCTTGGAATAGACTTCTAGTAGAGGTAGTGAGTCAGCCAACATTTAGTGGATTCAAGCATACATGGGATAAACATAAATCTATACTTTTTTAAAAAAATAAATAAATCACACACACACACCCCCCCCCCCTCTCTCTCTCTCTCTCTTTTCTGTATATATAAATACATAACTAAATTAAAAAATGGCGAAGACTTAAATGATTGATTGGTCTTTTTGCTTACATCACTCTTCTATGTTACCATATAATAGTATATTAGAATTTTAGATCAAAAAAGGGATGGCAATGTAACAAACATTATTGCACCAGTGCTGCTATATACGAGGTGTGTCTAGAATATAATGAGAATGAAGTTGTTATGCTCGAGTCACTTGGGGTGGGGTGCCAGGTATACGCTAGAACACTGATCAGTTGAATTCCAGCCCTGTCAGAGTCAAGACATTCTTTTTTGTGATGCCATGTTCAAGTGCCTCGTACTTGTATTAAGAAAAATACAAGTGAGTTTGGAACAGCGGTACGCAATAAAACTATGTGTGAAATTGGGTAAAAGTGCATCAGAAACTTTGGAAATTGTGAGGAAAGCTTATGGAGAATCTGCGCTATCATCTGCATGAATGTACCGATGGCACAAGGCCTTCTAGGAAGGACCAGAAAGTGTTGAAGATGAGCAACAATCGGGATGCCCCTCAGAATTTGCACATGAGAAAAGTGTGTGCAAAACCTGTTCCAAAGAACATGTCACCTGATCAGAAGAAAACACTGTCAACTCGTTTGCCAAGACCTGTTGGCCCATTTGGAAAGAGAGTCTGATTTTTTGAGTCAAGTGATTATAGGAGATAAATCCTGGATGTTTGAGTATGATCCCAAAACAAAGTCCAGATGGCAAATACCCACGTTTTTGCCCCAAGAAAACTTGAGTGAGCAAATCAAAAGTCAAATCAATGGTCATTGTTTTTTGTTTCACATGGAATTGTCCATAAGGAATTTGTACCTACTGGTTAAACTATGAATCAAAGATTTTACCGACGACACACAAATCTATCTCTCAACCCCCACCTCACCCCCTTGGTCTCAGCCCGAATCACACACCTACTGAGCGACATATCAGACTGGATGTTGCTCCACTTCCTTAAATTGAACCTCTCCAAAACCGAGTTTCTTGTCTTCCCCCCAGCCCGGACACCACCCCCCATTGATTTCTCCGTCACATCCAACAACGCTACCATCAAACCCGCCCTGCAGGCCAGAATACTTGGTGTCATTCTGGACTCCAACCTATCCTTTCAACCCCAAGTCCAATCCTTAACAAACTCGTGCAGACTCCACCTCCGCAACATCGCCAAAATACGCACGTTCCTAACCCCAGAAACCACTAAACACCCCATCCACTCCCTCATCATGTCACGACTCGATTACTGCAACTCCCTCCTCACTGGCCTGCCTCGCCGCTGGCTATCCCCGCTTCAGTCGATCCTGAATACGGCTGCCAGACTCATTTACCTTTCCAACCGCTCTGTCTCCGCCACCCCCCTCTGCCAATCCCTCCACTGGCTTCCGATTGCGCAACGGATCAAATTCAAAATCCTAACACTGACGTACAAAGCTGTCCACCATACTGCCCCAAACTACATCACTGACCTAATATCCAAGTACCGCCCAGCACGCACACTCCGCTCCTCGCAAGACCTCCTTCTCTCTAGTTCCCTGGTCTCCTCCTCCCATGCCCGCCTCCAGGACTTCTCCAGGGTGTCACCCATCCTCTGGAACTCCCTGCCCCAACCCATCAGATTATCACCTACTCTCCTCTCCTTTAGGCGCACCCTGAAAACCCATCTCTTCAGGGAAGCCTACCCCACCCCCTGCTAACTTGCCGACCTCCTCCACTCTTCCTACCATTCCATCCCCCACAGCTATCTCCTCCTGTACCACCATCCCCTCCCTCCTAGATTGTAAGCTCGAAAGAGCAGGGCCCTCGATCCCCTCATGTTTTGCATTGTATTGGTATTGTTCTGTCACATGTTCTGTCCCCCTTTGTAATGTACAGCGCTGAGCGAACTATTGCGCTTTATAAATACTGTATAATAATAATAATAAGTACTTGGTCACCTGAGACAGAGACTTTTTAATGTGCATCCTGAGATTGGCTCACCTTGGATCCTTCATCACAACAGGGTCACAGTGCTTTGACTGTCAGAGAATTTGTGCCTGAAAAAAACACATCGTGGTGCATCCCCATCCATCCTACAGCCCCGACTTGGCTCCTTAAGCCTTTTTGATATTCCCAAAGATGAAAAAGGGTTTAAAAGACCACCATTTTGGTAGTGTCGATATCGCCCAAAGAGCCACTACGCAGGCTCTGACCGCTGTCTCACTTGAAGATGCATGCTTTGAAGGAGATAATGTTCAATTTTTCAATAATTTTTTTTTTAAATATCATTCTCATTACTTTCTGAACACACCTTGTATTACTCCTAAATTTCTGTGGGCCTGACTGTCGCCTATTGTTAATAACGAGTCATAGCATCATGGCATTACTATCATACATTGATCCTCTCAGCCTAAGCAGAGCTGGCCTATTACTCTTCAATTTTGTGATCTTCAGTCTTAGGGGAAACAGTATCGTGCAGGAAAGTCAGAACCTCCTGGACAGAAGGAAAGACTGAAACAATCTTTATCCAGACTACCTTAAAGTATATCAGCTTTGCAATAAAATACATCCAAATGATCATTTATGATTATTTCCTGATGTAAATGTTCAGCCTGTTCTGTATCACATTACACTGTAATAAATTAATTTTGTTAATAATGATATTAGGTTATTGAAGTTCATTGTAGGTGTCACATATCTACTGTATAATTCATAAACTCATTAGCTGTAAATGTAGCTGATTTTTTCTATTTTTTTTAAATTTTCATTTTTAGGGGGTTTTTTTTTCCAAGCTGTTTTCATAGTTTCATTGAAGATTGGGTTAGGTCAGAAATATGTAGTAAATGGCCAAGAACAAAGATGCATATAAAATCTGTCAGAATAAGCTAAAAAAATGGGGCTTCACATATTTATGCCCCCAAAATAACAAGACCATGCCTATACCGTTAGATAGTCGCACACAAGCCTTTTTGCAGAGGGTGGAACAAATTCCTTATTTCTTTGACTGGATTTTTATAGAGAATTGGCATTGGGCTTGGCCAATAACACATAGCTGCCATTGAATTATGGCCCTCCACTTTACCTATTGTCACTTTAAAATATGTCTGCTACTAAGAATTGACCATAAATATGTTTTAGTATAGATACAGTTGTTTCACTTTGCAAACATCGGTAAATACCAGTATTGTACAGACCTTTTAAACTTTAACTGTGATGGTTCTAAATTGTTTTCAGTTAACCTAATACTTCTAGTGTGGGACATTTTATCTTCCATTTGAAACATATAGTATGGTTTGCAGTAAAATTTTTATGCCAAAGAAAAAAGTAAACAAGTTAATCAGTCTCTCACCATTTATCACACATCCATCACATTTAAGGAACTACTCATAACTGTCTTCAAAGTAAAAAAAGTGACATATCACAACTGACTTACATAAGCTTTTTTTCTAGTTGCTCCTGGAGAGAAGCATTATGTATTTTATTGGTCTTGTCACTTCAGCATGTAGAGCTTCTTTGAAGGCAGTGATAAAGGTGTCCCTTTTTTCTGTAATACTAAGAAGAGCGATGTAACGGAACCCGGAACCCAGACCGCACTGAGTTTTTTCCGCGTTTATAGCACAACTCCCCTGTCCGAACACCATCCACGGACCACACCCTTGAAATCCCTCAGGAAAATAGACAATACCCAGCTCTTACTAAAACAGGAAGCCAACAACTCTTTATTTTACACAAACAACATGTTTTATACAGAGGGCGGGGAAACACAACCAGGAACAGGAAATACATCATCAGCCCGCCCCATCCCACCCAGACACAGAACAATGGGATGAAACACATGGTAAAGGACATTGACCAACCCCACACTAATACACAAACAGTACATCCCATAATAGTTTGGCTGGACAGGGAAGACACAGCACCATGGGGGGGAGCACATGGCAAACAGACAATGGACAGCCATGTGGCCTAGACAAAGGACAACACACAAATGCACAATACTGGGGACATTCACATACACACCCTGTACCCTTAAACAGGCACAGGGTGGGTTAAACATATTGATTTGGGGAGATGATACAGAGGTCCCCCCCCACCCCCAAAAAGTCACTCCCGTCACATATCATCCCCTTTTGGCAGGAGACTAACACAGGAGTATATCCCAGACGGATGTACTCTGAAGTTAGTCGGTACCTCCAGTCCCTCAATGCCAGCACCCACACAGTACCCCATGCAAATTGTCCCACACCAAGCGTTACTCACCCAGCCAACCTCTGCCTCTCCCGTAGAACATACCCCGCCGCTGGGGGAGAAGTACGGACCGGTCCTTCTCCCTGAAGTCCTCTCAGCCGCTGGAGAGAAGACAGGGTGGCTGGGCTGACTCCATCATTCTGTGGGAGATC